TTGCACAGTGCAACTACCGTTTCGGTGGCTTGTGAGAAAGATACAAACGAGATACAAAAGGGAGGCAGCGAGGAAGCGGCAGCTGCTGAAGCTCGTCCAGGTGAAGCTGTCGCCCACTTCAACAGCGTGTAGAAAGTGTATTAAAGAAATCAATTGATATCAAAAAGAATGAACACAAAGTTTAACAGTCATACCGGATGTGAATGTAAGAGTGTGTGTGAGTATGTGTGTGTGTGTACTGACAAGTGAAATGTAAATGCTGTGCAAATAGCTCCAACTGCTAACTGAGCAAAAGAGAAATATATCTAGATACATCTATGACTATACATATACATATACATATACATACATATTTAAATTGCACAAATTTAAATCTTGTTTGTCAACAGATCGCAAAAGCAAAAAAAGGGCACAACGACCAAATAAACGTTGATTGCATTTAGAAACCACCCTGATAAAAGGCCTCCTCTCCTCCTCCCCTGCTCTACTGCTCTACTGCCTAACCCCCCCTTCCTTCTACCCCTAGCCTTGTTTACTCACTTTCCCAGCGCTTTGACAAAATGTTATTCGGTCCACTTAAGCGCCTGGAACCCCTGGGATTTTACAGACTTCTCCTTGGCTGCTGCGACTGCTGTCTAAATATTTACACAATTTATAACTTTCAATTTGAATGACACAATTATCGAAATGCGCTTCGAACTCAATTTGTTTCGCTTCAATTTGCATTGTTTCTATAGAAATTTCAGGAATTTACGAACGATATGATAGCTCTTAAGAAACAAGTTATTTACTCTATCAAAATGTAAAGAAGTTAGCTTACTAGTTGAGTGTTTAAGCTATCGACATATCGATAATTGTTATCGTTTGATGGAACAAATATTTTTTCTAGAAATTATTCGGTATGTTAATTCAACTTTCTAATTAATTATAAACAATGTTTAGTACATAGCTCTATATATTTTAATTATCTTTATGCCTACATATTATCATAAATATAATACACCCAGCACGCATCACTAATCGATAATTCGATAACAGCCCATTCTCAATTAGGGCATCAAAATCTGAGTCAAAAAATCAATTTCATACTCAAACGATATTCAATTACATTCACAAACCAAAGCCAGATTTAATTATTAACCAAGAGTTATATACACCTTCGAGTTTATCGCAGTTGTTGTTGTTGTTGTTAATTTGGCCTATGTGATCAGATCGTATTACCCGACATTCTTGCAGCTGAATAAGTTTTCACAATTCCAAGTCCCCCCCAAAAAGAAAAAAAACCCTCCGTACACGAATCTTCTGACATGAGCCGATTAAAGCATTTCAATGTCTCGAATCCGAGGCTCAAGTTACCAGCTAAAGGCTTAGCTCTAACTCTATCTCGGCCTCTGTCTCTCTCTCTTGCTCTGTCTCTCGCTCTCTCTCTCTCTCTCTGTATCTGCCCTCTCCCTCAGTCATTGTGTGGGTAATTACATACGTGTCATTTCGTTTTCGTTTAGGTGCCACAGTATCAGATTCCAAAACGTAAAACCCTTTTTTTTCTGGCTCTCTCGACTGTTTCTGGTCAATTGTTTGGAAAATATATATTAGTATATATGTATGTATATGGATATATATTGATATATGTATATCATATTCATAAGCAGCTCCCAATGAATTCAATGAAGCGTAAACACGGCCTTGGAGCTGCGCCCGTGCCAGAGCTCCTCTTCCTCTTTCTCTTGTCTGTTTTTTGGCGTAGGTTATGGGCGCAGGTAGCATCTGGTTTTTTTTTTGTTTTTGTGTTCGATCTCTCAATTTTGACTGCCTACAGCTTCATTGAGGCGTAATCGCTACTGCCAAAAAGCTATAAAATTTCACAGCGACCCACCGCAAACACAATTTACCAAAAAAAAATTGTCCAAGATGAGCTAAACATAGACTAGCAGTTACCCTGGGCGAAAAGTAGAGCTGTTTCTGAGAAAGAGATGAGCATAGGATTTGTTAAGGTTTGACTTCCTTTAAGTCTCGATGGCTCTATGGTTTAGTATCGATACTATAACTACTACGACTTTAGTTATTGCCTCTAATCCCTTTTGACCTATGCGTACTTTATAGAAGTATAAAATTTGGTAGAAACAACAAACCCATTTTTATGAATCCAATTTCTCAATATTTTGCATATTGATTGTTATTTAAATAAAAAAAAATCAATTATGCAAAAGTTTGTTTTCACTGCAGATCTTGAGATGCTAACAATATACTGAAAGAGCTCTAGTTATTGTTTAGGATTGTCATCAAATTTGTACTCTTACAATGTGACCTACATATGTGTGTGTATTTTTCGCAGTTTCTTACTCTTAACAGGAGTAGATATCCAGATAGATATTTATATATATATCTATAACTTGCTAACGAATTTGTATGCTCAAGAATGAGTTTATATTGATTGCTATCGATTGTTATCGATTGTTATTGACTGTTTCGATTATCTGCGTATTTAGGGCAAAGGATGTTCTAAGGTTGATAGAAATGGAGCTAGCTCTAAATATTCAAGTATCTTTAGGAGTATAAGTGGTATAAGTGTAAGGCAGACAAATATACAAATTATATACATATGTATATACAAACTATGAACTCTGCCACGCCCACAAACTGCTGAAAAGGGCGTTACTAAGTAGCTGAAATATAATAATTAAAATTACATATATTATAAAATCTGAATTAGCATTTATCTACACTCATATCTACACATGCATTTACATATACACACACATATATACATATATACATAAAGTTCGTTTGATCTGTGCCATGTAATTCATCAGCGGAATGGGCCGATGTGTCAAGTTGGTAAATGATAATCCATCAAGTTGCCGCATTAGGCAACTAAACGATTCCATTTGCAACAATACAAAAAATCGAGTGGAGAAAAAAAAACAAAAACAAAACGAGCTGGAGGAGGAGGAGGAGGAGGAGAAGAAGGCAAAAGGTAGCCGCAGATACATTTCGCAGCTCCAGCTGAGTTGATGCCGCGGCGCGTTCATTAATCACACACACAGGACTCCATGTGGCACGACTCCAAAGCCGCTGCTGCTGCTGTTGTTGTTGTTGTTGTTGTCCGAAGCGCTGCATTATAAATGCTGATGGTTCAACAAAACGCGGCAAGTTGAGCGAATCCTAACCGATAATTATGACAGGGCAGGGAGTCTGGCTGGAGATGGAGCTGGAGCTGGAGCTGGAGATGCTGAAGATGATGTATATGAACACTCTCTGTGATGGCTCTATAAATATGCCGACATGGCTGCCACTGCCACTGCGTGCCACTGCGCGCTGCACGTTTCGCTTCTAATCAAGTCATTTCAGTGTAGTTTTTTGTGGCCTTTTGTTTTGGCCACAGATAATTTGTCTTAAGCATGTGTGAAAGTTGCCACAGATTTATTGTGCGGCTGCCGCCCTGACAAATGAGCCGCCTAATGGGCGTGTCCAGCGACCAGCGACCAGCTGTGCAACACAGCCACTTGCAACACAGCCACTTGCAACACAGTCACTTGCAACACTAATCACTTTTCACACTTTTCACATTTAATAACTGGTAATCGAGAAAATCGAATCTCTCACAAACAATCTCTCGCCTCTCGCATTGCATTCGCCATGCATCATTAATTGAGCGATCGGAAAGCGATTAAACGCTTTAATGACAAAGTACTCAATGGGCGTTCCACAGCACTCGAAGCTTATTCATTAATATTATCAACTTAAAGCTCAAGCTGGAGCAGCTTTTTAGTGAGAACTTAAAATGGAAAGAATGAGAAATTTGTGAGAACTTAAAATGGGAATAATATTGAGAAATAATTACAATCAATATCATATTTTTAATCAATAATGTATAAAATGTTATAGCTAAACTAAAAAAAAAAAAAAAAAAAAAACAAACAAATAAAAAATTATTATAAATTATAATAAATTATATGAATGCACAAATTTATAAATTCTTGAAACATTTAGTTGCAATTTAGAATTGTAGAAAACTTGATTAATTAGGAAACATTTTGACAATTTTTACTTTGGTTTATTTAAGAATAACCTCAAAATATATCAAATATATTTTATTTTATATTGAATATTTTATTTATAAATTAAAAATTAAATAAAAAAAAAACAACAAGAATAACCTCAAAATATATCAAATATATTTTATTTTATATTGAATATTTTATTTATAAATTAAATTAAATTAATATATATAAATTAAAATATAAATTAAATAAAAAAAAAAAAAACAACAATAATAAATGCAAAAATATATAAATTCTTTCAAAATTTAGTTCCAGTTTAGAATTATATAGGAAAAATTTTGACTATTTTAAATTGTTTTATTTAAAAGCAATCTCAGAATATATATAAAAATTGTTTACTAAAAATATTTCATTTTATATTGAATATTTTATTTATACATAATAAATTTTATAAATGGAAATATTAATGTAAATATTTATATAATTTGCTTGGCTGTCTATGCAAGCATTCAAAATGTCAAATGTCTCTATGCCAAGGTAGCGCTCAAGTTTTATGGATAATTTCATAAAACTGCTATAAGCAAGGCAATATATAGATATATACTTTGGCATACTTATGTAGCACAGCTTACTAATGATAGAGAAGGTATCAAACGAGCTCTGTGCGCTGCTTATGAAAGTTTTAAGAGTTTTAATATTTCTCTTTTATTTTTTATACTTATATGATTACATTAGAATATAAAGTAATCAAAAAATTTGAGCTTTCCTCATTTTATTGTAAATATAAAATTAGGTTCCCTGACAAATTTATGAAATATGTTTTATATTTAATCGATTTAATATTAATATTTATTTGTTAATTATTATTATTATTTATTAATATTTATATTAAAATAGATTAATATTCATTCGTTTTATTAAATTAATAAATTAGTTTAAAAATATATACACAACAATTATATATTCAACAATTTCTTGCATCTTCTCGTTTCTTTGCAGCATACAGCACAATCAGAACAATTCGGGCATGGGCTGCCGCAGCCGTCGGGCGGATGGTGTTGCGTCGCCGACTCCGTCGGATAGCTCCGATTCGGATATATCGCTGGGCACCCATTCGCCGGTGCCGAGCAGCTTGCAGCTGCAGCACAGTCCCGGCAGCATGTCGAACGGCGCCAATGGCGAGGAGAGCCTCAGCGTGGACGATGATAAGCCACGGGACTTGAGCAGTGCCCTGCCCTCGCCCACACCGCCTCAGCTGCCGTCGGCCTATGGCGCGAGTAGTGGCGGGGGTGGAGGTGGCGGCGCTGGGGCTGGGGGCTTGCCTGCCGGCTGCCTGCCGCCCTTCAAGCTGGATGCGGCGAGCAGCCTGTTCAATGCCGGCTGCTACCTGCAGAGCTTTAGCAACCTGAAGGAGATGTCCCAACAGTTTCCCATACAGCCAATTGTCATCCGGCCGCATCCGCAGCTGCCGCAGCCGCTGGCGCTCAATGGCAATCTGCATCATCCGGCGTACGCGGCTGCGTACAGTGTTGAATGCACTGTTGCCGCACCACCACCGCCACCATCAGCATCGGCGCCAGCACCACCCAAGCTGCGCATCAATTCGCCCGAGAAACTCAATTCGACGGCGGTGGCAGCTGCAGCAGCCGCCGTTGCTGCTGCCCATGAGATGAACAATAGCAGCAACAACAACAACAACAACAACAACAGCAACAGCAACAATAATCACAGCAGCACCACCAACAGCAGCAGCACCACCACGGTCTATCATCCCAGCGCACAGCTGCTGCTCCATCGCCCCTTCTCCACATCGCCCGAGCTGAAGCATAGCGCACCAGAGATCACATGATATCAGCGGGTCTAAGGCTGACGTTGCTCCACGCCTTGCTCGAAGGGTTTCCACGATCCACGATCCCAGCTACCAGCTCCCAGCACCACTAAGGCCCAGCTACACGAATTGTTTTCAATTTTTCTTTAAGTTTAAGTCAGCAATAATAATAAAAGAACGAAATGAAATGAGAAAAACATAAAATTTCTATTCAAGAGCAGCAGCAGAAAAAAATTCATCGCTAGCCCGCACAGATCCTTCAACCTGTTTAACGGGCTGTTTCCTAACATAACATTAAAGAAATCGAAGATATCGAAATATATATACATCTAAATATATATATATATTGAACCTCGTCGCACACACTTTTCAAAGATAGTTGTTTAAGATTTACGCATACGACGATAATGAATAAAGAAAATAAAATCAAATTTGGAAAACTAACTGAATTTTCAATCAAATTTGAAAAAAAAAAAAAAAAACCGGAAAACTGCAAAATTTCCAAACCTGTTTTTAATTTCAAATTTGGAATACGTTCAAATTGAGTTGAAAACTTTGCAAATCAATAAAGAAGATTGTCATTTCTTCAAATTTGATAAACTGAAACAGATAACTGAAAAATTTCACATAAACAAATTTTTCTAATTCTAATTTTAAAATTCTAATTTCTATGTGTGTGTACGTAATTTGTAAATAGAGTTTAAGTATGCAAATCATAGTGCTTACGTATACATTTAGAATGCAATAAAAACAACAAATAAAAAACAAAAAAAAACTAATGAAACAGTTAAGAATTTAAATCATTACCGAAAACTAAATTGGAATTTTTCTTTAATTAAGGGCTGGCTGGAATTTTATAAAAATGAAATGAATTTTTGATTTTTTTACAGAAATATGAAGAAAACGAATTCAGAAATTACATGGATCAGAATGATTAAAATAAATAAGTTTCGCGTCTAGTTCGTTGCTTCTTAATAAAAATTTATATTAACTATTTAAGGAAAATATTAAATATTTTTTCAAATCCAGTGATTTTTTTTTCATAATATTCTAAACATAAAATGAGCTATCGGGGAGATGTGAAATCTACAGGGGAAGAGAGAAAGAGAGAGAACAATAGATAAAATAGGTTTTACTTTGAATGGATAATCATTGAAAAAAAAAAAAATTAAAAACTTAGCTAACATTTATTTATTTTTTATTTTATTTTAATATTTATATATATTTTTTTAAGTAATTCCTATACCTATTTTATATAGGCATAGACATATCAATAATATTCAATAAATAAATTTAATTATTAATCATTTTTATCAACTTCAAAATAAAGTTTTTAATAATTTTTTAACCATTTACAAATTTTTCTTTTAATTTAATATTTTGTTTATTTAAAAAAACAGAATATTTATACATATAGCAATCAGAGATAACAGATCCACCCGCGTGTCATTCATATGCCACTCTGCTTCACGGTAAGAGTATCTGCGATTCTAACTATTGACGTTTCCTTTGTGCTTGGCTGTTTTTATTTTGAAATAAAATATTAATTTCTGTGTAAACAAGAGGAACAACAAATGTGGAAATGCAGCTCAGAAGTCATCTGCAACAACAGACCAGGCACAAGGCAAATATAACAACATCAAAAGCGAAAAAATAAGTCTATATATATATATACATATATCTGCAATAACAACAACAACGAGGCGCCTATATACACTAGTGTGTGTGAGTGTGCGTGTGTGGATATGGTAAGAAGTGCCTTTCGTCGTCGGCATTTGGTTGAATGCTGGCGCCAACGATGACATCTCCTACTTGAGTGGTTTACTTAGCTGCCTTATGAAAATATCCGTGTGGTGGGCAAACACAAGAGAGAGAGACGATCGCCCGATCCATAAATGAGTCTACAGACAGCAGGCCAGACCGGGACAGGCCAGACCAGGCAAGGCAAGGCAAGGCTGGCAGGCCAGGCAGGCCCACCAAAAAGTTGACGCGTCACTGTCACTCACACACAAATGCAACGCATCATCATCATCGTCATTATGAGCTGGAAGAGTGCCCTGGGAAACATATTTGGAGAGAAGACCTGTACACACACACACACACACTTTTATATTATATTATATATATAGAATCTATAGCCATATGCATATGCGCGATATAATCTGTGGGCTAGAGATTGTTTTGTTTTTCTTCTTCTTCTTTTTTTGGTTGTCTGACTAGTTGTATAAGTGCTTCCTTCTTACAACAAATTTTGGGCTCAAATTACAAGGTGAGCGAGCCATGTGGAAGTTGTCAGTCAGTCAGTCAGTCAGACAGTCAGCCGGAGCTCGTCCGTCCAGCCATCACTTGAAAGCGCTGCAATTATCAGTAGCTGTTGCTCGTTGTTCGTATTGTGTATACGCCACATTGTCAGTTAATTTGTTTCACTAGAGTTTTAGTTTTCGGCGCCGTCTACCCGTCGCCTTCGTCATCGTCATCATTAAGCATGATGTGACACTTTTGACCTCAATTTCCCCCTCAGCCATAGTTTTATTTTATTTTTTTTTATTTTATTTATTTTTTCTTTTTGTCTATTTTCTTGTCAGCAAGAACAGCCGTCGATAGGCGATAAATTAAAGAACACTTTTTGTCGTTCATTTTAATTAGCTTTTCGTTCACTTTTACTCAAAATGGCAGCAGTAGCAATTGAAGTGCGTGCAAATTCGAGTCAAGCAGTTCAATTAGTTCAAAATGGCGGCCAGCGCGCGTTAGGCGTTGGATCATTGAACTATTTAAGTCGTTCATTTGTGTTCTGTCTCTCTCTTTCTCTCTTTCGTACTTAGTAGCTTACTCAAAATGGCGCCAGTTCGATAGTCCAATAAGTGCGTGCAATTTGGAGTCATGCATTTTAATTAGCTCAAAATGGCTGCGATTCGATAGCCGATAGCTGCCAAACATTTGGCATTTTCGACATTTGTCATGCATTTTAATTAGCTTCACGTTTGCTGCTATTGATGACTTAAAAAGGCATCTGGCGCTGCGTAATTAATTGTACACTCGTTGCATTCCAAGGCTATTCACACACACACACACACACACACACACACACAGACATATATTTATATGAGCAGCAACAGCAGCTAAAAAAACAAACATTCAAGTGTTGCACCGTCTATGGGTTTGCCTTCTGCCACTGTTTTTCTATCAAATTAATGCTCAACACTGTGGTAGATGTCCGCAGTAGCTGTCGCTGTAGCTGTGACAACAGTGTCCTGCCTTCTTTTTGGATTTACATTTTGACAAGGCGACTCAATTAGTTAAACCACAAAATGCCAAAGCCGACATCGGTCGCGACACAAGCTTTACATACATATTTAAAATTGAATTGAATTTATGCACCCTCCGCCAGCCATCAAATGTTTTCTCTCAATTTATTTAGCGTACCTTCAACTTTAACATCAATTTGTGGTTGGGCTCTACGACTCCCCCGTTAGATCAGCATACAGTTGTCATAACAGTGGTATGCCCTGCTATAATCAATGACTAAATATTTTGATAATTTTAATATTATAATCAGATACTAGCTGTATGAAAAATTGGTGAAATTAGTAGATATTTTGTCGGGAATTTGTGAGAGGGAAGGAAATTTGAATTTGAAATATTTTTAATGTTCATATATTTTTCCCTTTTATATACTTTTAATTTAATATATATTTTATTTATATTATTTATTTTTTAAATAGTTTTTTTTTTTTTTTTTTTTATTTCTTGAATATTTTTTACTTGTAGTTATTTTTAATTTTTTTTATATATTGAATTTTTAAGTACATATTTTTTATTTTATTCCATTTTGTGTATTCTTAACAATATATAATATTTTTTTTGCCATGAATTCTACAATTTTTTTACAGATATTTTTATTTTTATTTTTAGTCATTTTGTAATATTTTGCACCACTGTGCCTGCTTATTGGCTTTCGCGACTAAAAGCAACGCCGACCATATTCGCGTCCATTGCGTTAGAATAACGCTTCCCCATTCCGCGTTTCCCCAAACCCTCGCAACTCCGCTGGCTACAGCCTAAACATTTGCCATTTACCGCAAATGTACAAAGCATTTTGGATACTCACATCTTGAAATCTCTTGCTAGACAGGCGTAGAGACGAAGGAGCAGGAACGGGTGGGGGGACAGCCAAATGAACCCCATCATTAAGTGCGTAAATGTACTGTAAATAGACAAACGCGTTTTGAATAAATTTTGAACAAAAAGCTCGTAAAGAGTTGCATGCCACGGGGTTGAATGTGGCCACGGTGGTGGAGGGGAGCGCGAGAGGGGAGACTATGTAAATTCCCTGGGCAAACACAGAAAAAAAGGCAGGCAGTCAGACCTACAGACAGATCGACAGTTAGACAGCCTCTGTGGACCGTGGAGGTGGCGGTCAACAGGGCGTAGAATCAATAAGGCAACAAAGGGATAAACGGCATGAAGTGGGCGGGTGAGCTAACGGGTGGCTATATTATTATGATAATTTGGCGTGACAAATTGAAGACGAACTTTTAACATTGTCACAATATTTGCAGCGGCAACAGAGAATGAGGCGAAGGCGGCAGCAGAGACGGCGGCAGAGGCTGCGGCAAATCCTTAGGCTGATGCTGCGGCAGAGGCAGCAAATGCGCAAAGCAAACACTTCACACATGTCAGACTAGGAAACCCTTTAGCTCGGCTACCAGAAAACACAAAGAAAGACAGAGCAAGAGCATCGGGTTGAATGCGGGATTAGACGGTAGTAGTTGGGCTAAAGGGGCGTGGCAAGTGCTCATTAAGAGCGCTAGGCGTTATGGTTACAAATAATTTGACACTTGTGTTAATTGTCATTGAGCAGCGGGCATGCCAGAGAAGGCTGAAATATGAACTCAATACAGATAGTCCATCTCCCTCACACATACACTCTCTCCCTCTCGTGCGCTAGCTGTCTGTGTCTGCTGCTTTGTTGCCGTGTCTAATGAGATTTGCGCCCAAGGAGTCAGATTCAGGCGAAAAGGTGCAAACAGCCAGCGCAGGGGAAAGCGGAGAGCGGAGGGGTAAGCCGAGGTAGGCAAAGCAGGCGTCGATGCGTAATTCATAAAACCATTGAAAAGGCAAAAAATGAAAAAGAAAAGGAAAAGGAAATCGGCCTAAAGCTGACTCTACCTAGAGCTCTCCCTATCTCCCATCTCTCGCACTCTCCCTCTCTCCCTCTCTCTCTCTCTCTCACTGTCTCTCTCGCTCTTTATCTGTCCATCATCAGCGCTGGCTGCCGTCTTTGTTGCGCCTGTCACACACAAAGGCGTTCGAGATTGAGGCGTGGCTGTTGTGGCTGTTATTTTGGCATTGGGCAGCCAAGATCCGTGCTAAAGAGCCCCTGGCCCATGGTCTCGCCCATTTGCGGTTGCA